GCTGCAGCTGAACCGTGCCCGCAACCGCCTCGCAACACCCGCCGCTATGACCCTGCCAGACCTTGCAAATGGCAGTGCTGCCGTAAGTCCTCACGTCAACTTGTTCTATATAAGATGAGCAGTAGTGCAGAGGTCAGTGCTAATTATTCACAATCCATGCCGAGCATGATTTTGTTGACACTAGTGTTATATGTTTGTATATGATACGTAATTTCAACATGTAACCGTGCACAGTATTCGCTCACTTGAATATAGAGAATGACTCATAGGAGCGGGGGACCGCAGGTAAATGGGAAAGGCAGCGAGGCAGTGAGCTTGGCACCAAATTGTCCTATTAAGGTAATATTGGCCATTGAGGAAAGTGTTCACATGTGTGTGGGAGCAACTCTAACCCATACAGATGGAACAGATGGCCACATTTTAGCTGTACTGCCTTCTAGCAAGCCAGGGTATGGCACCTCGACGCCCACGGGAAAGGAGTTTCACAACATTTGTGTGATCCACCAACCTTCGTCTCGACAGTGCTGGATTATAGGTTACGTGCAAAGCCACCAAGTGCCCGGCATGTGTGTTGCGTGTTTGCGTTTGTTACTTTTCTAGTGTATGTTCAACCCTGCGCTGCCGCAGGATCTGCTGGTTAATTTCTACATTCATCACAACAAGCTCTGCCTGGTGCTCTACCAAGTGCACTCTCTGCAGCCAAATGCTAACAAGGTTTGGGACACACTCTCCACAAATATTGTACCATTTAATGTTTTGAAAAATGTGAACCTCACAGTTGAATATGTTTTGTTGACATCAGATAAATATAATGCTGCTTTTGGTGAACTACCAACCTGTATGATGTAGCTCTTGAGAATATGTATCTTTTACTCATTACTATTTCCTTAGTAACTAATATTGACTTATATTCTTGGTTCTTTCGGTAAAGTCACGTAGAAGAACCAAGAAGAAGAATCCCTGCAGTCACGAAAGCTTTAACTCTAAATTTAATATTGACTTGTTTTTAGCAGGCAGCTTTTTTATTTAGCGTTGTTAACTGTTCTGTCAAATATAAAAAAAATGTGACAAATATATTTGAAAAACTCGACTGGATAGTTATTACCTTGTGTTGTTTTACAGAATTTCAAGCCATCAGGAGGCTCGGTCTGTCATGCTCCTGGCTCCATGTTGTGAGTGACCTAGATAATATGACAAGTTAATGGTTCATCAGATTTTCACATATGGCGTCTAATCATTTTACATGCTCTTAACTGGAGAGTTAAAAGATAGGTTATATTGAAGCAGACATGTATTTTTGAAAATTCATAACTTGCAAATAATATCTGAAGTTTGTAATCAAAGTTATTTTTCATGACAAAACTTTGATGTCTACTGCTATTTGATTGCACCTTCTGAAACCCCATTGCAATTATTTGCTTGTGTGATGCTCAGCGAATTCATGGGGCAGAAGTATGAGGTCATCCAGACCCACAAGGTAGAGAGTGTTGTGCCATGGCTGGGAGATGGACTCCTGTTTCTCACTCTTGCCCTGCAGCTGTGTCAGCAACTTAAAGATAAGGTAAGGGTGGAAATGTTTTCCTCTGCACTCAAAACTTTGGATTAGGTGTTTTTTTAAAACTAATAATCCTGCAAACATTGTTATTAAAGAACGTTTATTCCTCCAGGTTTCTGTCTTTTCAAACTACTGGACGCAGATGCCACACTGAGCCCTGTCTGCATGCCCTTGTCCATGGAAATAAGTGAAATGAAAGCAATGATTCGTGATTTTTTTGGGCAGAATTGGGTTTGTATTATTGGACCACTATAAAATATTACTTGGACACAATCAAGACAGTTTTATTTATACTACTTAAGATTTTTCCAGTTGTGTTGTATCGGTCTGTGATATGCTTTGCTTTGTATGACGTGTTTTCAGCAACATGTCCAACGTTTCAGTCCACATGCTGGGAGAGAATTAAGTTCAGTGTAGGACCTAACACATGGAACGAAACATATAACTGAAAAAAACACTTGAGCTACACAGCTAATCCTTTAAGTGATGTATATTCTTTGGATAAACCCACTGGTGTGTTGAGTGAATGTTTGTGAGAACATCACATGTTCCAAATAGTGTACATTTTAATTTGGTTAATTCGTGAGAATGTGCTTTAAAATAACTAAATCCTAAAATAATAGTGCTCGACTTGTGTAATTGTTGTAAACATGTATGTCATGTCATTTTGATTTACGGTATTAAAAATAAATTGCACTTTAATGGGTTGTCTTGTGATGTAATTGTATACAAAGTAACAAAAGGTAACACGTCTCATTGTATCCACATTCATATTTCCCAACTCCAAATTTAAACTGGCATTTACTAATTGGCGTAACCGGCATCTTGTATACGTGTATGCAAATATTGACTTAAAGCTTTCGTGACTGCAGGAATTCATATTCTTTGGGTCTTTCGGTAAAGTCACGTAGATAGGTTCAAAGAAAATAACAATAATCACAAAAAACTACGACGTTTTGATCGCAACGCAAGCGGTCGTCATCAGCCTGATGAAATGCACGAATTTGACCAGCGGGTGGCGTGAGATTGCCGAGTGGTGTAGTGAGACCTGGGTAGGAACGTGGCGAAATCGCCGTATTATATTTGTGGATTTTCAGCCCATGGAAATGTTGATTTCGTTGATTTCACTAGGTGTGAAGTGAAAAGAGACTAGGATAGTGTAATTTGTTTAACTAAAATTACAATAATGACCACATCAAGGGAAATAAAAACTAAAACTCAGCAGAAATAACCGCATTACAGGAGAAATGAAGAAAATATACTTCACATCTTGATCTGTACTGCCGCCTATACAACGCGAATATCGACGAATGCGTGAGTTGGAATAAATCTGGCGTTTGAATTATCGGCCATGGTCATGATCACCATGTCGTGTCATCCAATCAATTAGCTATGGTCGCTCCACTGTTGGATGAAGGTCTCCCCCAATCCCCACCCCCACCTCGTACGATCCTGCGATGGGAAAACTCTACCCTGCACATGAAGTGGTTTCATCCCTCAATCTCCGCGGTTTGGGTCCTCTCGTACATGTTCCATTGCTTGGTTAAAATGCAGTCGAAACCAAGGTTAACATACGTTCTAGATTAAAGGTAATCTGATGTTATGCCAGCCCAAGCAATGGATTCAAATTACTTATTCTTAGCTCTTTCGGTAAAGTCACGTTGAAGGGAAACAATAAAATAATAAAATATATACAAAATAAAAATTCTCACGACGTTTCGACCATAACACAAACGGTCGTCATCAGGTGTGTCGTTTGTGTTATGGTCGAAACGTCGTGAGAATTTGTATTGTTTTATATATATTATTATTTTATTGTTTCCCTTCAACGTGACTTTACCGAAAGAGCTAAGAATATTAATTACTGCAGTCACGAAAGCTTTAAATCAAAATTCAAATTACTTGTCCAACTAGAGAGGATATAACTTAACATATTGGGGTTCTCATCCAATATTCTTCATAATAGATTATTTTCGGTTAGGCCACGGAATGAACTGGCCAAATTTTATGTCTTGAAGTTCCCTCCACCAAGCAAGCAAAATAAAATCGTCAATTCATTTAACGCGACAAATAATGATTGTTTCATCTCGCTACGGGTAAGTTTGAAACACAATTCTGAAAACTGTCAGTGAATCAGAATATGTATTTATACTGGAGGAATCCGATGACCTATAAAGCTCTTTTCCACATGTCCAGTCGGGGCGGGTCAAGACGTTACAACGAGAAACAATGTAAAAACACAACAGAAAGGAAAACAAATAAAGATATCTTGATTTGAATCTTGATTTGAAATAAAGATATATATTTTTACAAATAAAACGAAACTATTTTTTATTTATCAGGTATAGCCTACTGAGCTATAAGGGGCCGTCCATAAATGACGTCACACAATTTTTGACCCCCCCCCCCCGTCGTCACACGGCGTCACAAAAAGTCAGACCCCCCCCCCTCAAATATGACGTCACAAAGCTCTCCCCCCCCCCCCCCCAAAACATAAAACAAGCTTCAAATCGCTTTAAACTATTGTCATTGTAGTGCGTATTTAATGTGGCGCTGCACTCTGATGTTATAGGAGAAAACATTTATTAAAACGTCTAATTAAGTAGAACGTTTTGATTTAAAGCTTTCGTGACTGCAGGGATTCATATTCTTGGTTCTTTCGGTAAAGTCACCACGTAGAAAGGAAACAATAAAATAAAATATAAAACAATAAAATTCTCACGACGTTTCGACTGCAACACAAGCAGTCATCATCAGGTGTAGTTTTCACACCTGATAATGATTGTTTCCCTTCTACGTGACTTTACCGAAAGAACCAAGAATATAAGTAGAACGTGTTGTCTATATTTATTTAAAGTTGGGCATTTTGATGTGACGTCACATTTCTCAAACCCCCCCCCCACCCTCGTCACGTCACAAATGTCTGACCCTGCCCCACCAGGTGCGTGACGTCATTTATGGACGGCCCCGAAGTTTATTTATCAGAAGCGAAACCTAGCCACAAGTGATAGCTCAACGAAGTGGTTTATCATTTCGCAGCCACATAATGAAAAATAATTATTAGAATTGTGAATTAAACGTGAAGAGATATTGCACGCCAGGTTTCCTTGCAGGGTTATGCACAGCTCCTTCAGGCAATGTTTAAGGAAGTGGCTTGCGCCTGACGTCACCCATAGCAACCAATAGCAACCCTCCCCCTCTTCTATAGCAACCAATAGCAACCCCCTCTATTCCATCGCAACCAATAGCAAATCTCCCCTGCTTCCATCACAACCAATTGCAACCCTCCCCCTCTTCCATAGCAACCAATAGCAATCGTCCCCCTCTTCCATAGGAACCCGCCCTCTCTTCTATAACAACCAATAGCAACCCTGCCCTGCCCCTTCCATAAAAATACATCTCGTCACGTGCCCCGCGTTGCTAGGGAACGGCCTGACGGGGGGAGGGGCGCGCGACGACGTTTTCCCAGCTCGCAACGGGCCAAGGTGACTGGTTTGTTCGGCGGGGATCGATTTTTAGATTTCGCAAACTCTGATCGCAAAATCGATTACATTGCGAGGTGAAACGCGAACCGACAAGGTTGCCGCCTTGGGCGATGCAAAACGAGCTAGTGCAGACGAGAGCGCAAAGGAGACGCGGCGGGGTCGTAGCGCAACCCTAGACAAGCCGTTGACAAACAAACAAATAAAAACGAGGAATCGAATAGCGACGATCACAAGGAATCGGAATAGTTTGGAATCGCTGGACCCACGTGACGCGCTGCGATGCCGCGGGCTCCTCCAATCGGGCGCGGCGACCGCGAGGCCGCGCCCCCCCCCCCACGTGCGGCGCGCAGCAGCGGAACCGGCGAACAGACGCGGGGGAGACTCTGAGAGGTGAGGTGAGGGGTAGGGGGGAGGTGAGGGGTAGGTGAGGTGAGTGGTAGGTGGAGGTGGTGAGGGGTAGGGGGGAGGTGAGGGGTAGGTGAGGTGAGTGGTAGGTGGAGGTGGTGAGGGGTAGGGGGGAGGTGAGGGGTAGGTGAGGGGTAGGGGGGAGGTGAGGGGTAGGGGGGAGGTGAGGGGTAGGGGGGAGGTGAGGGGTAGGGGGGAGGTGAGGGGTAGGGGGGAGGTGAGGTGAGGGGTAGGGGGAGGTGAGGTGAGGGGTAGGGGGGAGGTGAGGGGTAGGTGAGGTGAGGGGTAGGTGAGGTGAGGGGTAGGGGGGAGGTGAGGTGAGGGGGAGGTGAGGTGAGGGGTAGGGGGGAGGTGAGGGGTAGGGGGGAGGTGAGGGGTAGGTGAGGTGAGGGGTAGGGGGGAGGTGAGGGGTAGGGGGGAGGTGAGGTGCGGGGTAGGGGGGAGGTGAGGTGAGGGGTAGGTGAGGTGAGGGGTAGGGGGGAGGTGAGGGGTAGGGGGGAGGTGAGGTGAGGGGTAGGGGGGAGGTGAGGTGAGGGGTAGGTGAGGTGAGGGGTAGGGGGGAGGTGAGGGGTAGGTGAGGTGAGGGGTAGGGGGGAGGTGAGGGGTAGGTGAGGTGAGGGGTAGGGGGGAGGTGAGGGGTAGGGGGGAGGTGAGGGGTAGGGGGGAGGTGAGGGGTAGGGGGGAGGTGAGGGGTAGGGGGGAGGTGAGGGGTAGGGGGGAGGTGAGGGGTAGGGGGGAGGTGAGGGGTAGGGGGGAGGTGAGGGGTAGGTGGAGGTGGTGAGGAGTAGGTGGGAGGGGGGTAGGTGGGGTGTGAGGGGTAGGTGGGGAGTAGGTGGGGTGGGGGGTGGTGAGGGGTAGGTGGGGGGTGAGGGGTCGGTGGGGGGGAGTAGTGAGAGGTGATGAGGGGTAGTTGGGGTGGTGAGGGTAGGTGTGGGGGGTGAGGGCTAGGTGGGGGGGTGAGGGGTAGGTGGGTTGTGAGGGGTAGGTGGGGAGGGTGGTGAGGGGTAGGTGGGGAGGATGGTGAGGGGTAGGTGGTGAGGGGTAGGTGGGGTGGGGGTGGTGAGGGGTAGGTGGGGTGGGGGTGGTGAGGGGTAGGTGGGGGAGGAGAGAGGGGAGATGGGGGGGGAGAATGGAGGGGGGAGATGTGGGGATGAAACGGAGATGGAGAAGGTCGAGGGAGACTGTAGAGAAGGAGGGGAGATGACAGGTGAGGGGAGAGGGATAAGGGAGAGGGGAGAGGGATAAGGGAGATAGGGGCAGGGTAGAGGTTGAATTAGGGGGGTGGAGAGGGAGTAGAGCACAGGCGAGGGAAGATGGGGAGTGTAGAGGGAGTGTAGAGGGAGGGGAGAGGGAGAGATTACAGGTGCCTGGAGTGTGGAGAGGCTGGGAAGGACGGTGAGTAGTGAGTAGGCGAGAGAGGGAGGGGAGAGACGCGGCGATGACAGCTGAGCAGAGGGAGGGGAGAGCGAGGGAAGATACCAGGCAAGATACGAGGGAAGATACGAGGCAATACATAGAGGAGGAGGAGGTGGGTGAGAGGTGAGCTAACAATATTTGAGCTAACAATGAGAGAAGAGGAGAGAGAGAGAGAGGGGGTGGGGGATGCGACAGGAGGGAGGAGAGAAGAGAGGGATAGGTAAGGTGAGATAGCGGAGGACAGGAGAGGGGAGTGACTCGGCGGAGACGAGAGGAAGAGTGAATGGGAGATGATGATGATGATGAGATAGTGACACGGGGGGTGGGGGGGTGGTGAGAGAAGGGGAGATGCAATTGAAGGAGATCGGTGAGAGGACACGTGGGGAGGTAAGAGAAGGAGAGGAAGAGATAGCAGAGGTCAGGCGAGGGGACAGGGAGGGGAAGAGGGAGGAAGATGATGGGAGAGGGAGTTGACACGCTTCGCGTTTCTGACCTTAGTTGTTGTTGTTGCTTTCAGGAAGACAATCCCGTCTCATGAACATCAAAGCGTCTCTCTCATTTGTGGATAAACAACAGTACGTGCCTTGATTGTGTGCTCCGCGCTGAATGAGTGGTAGATGGCGAGGTTGAAAACAATTCTGCGCTTTTAAAGCGACTGGACAGTTTGCGTCGACAATACCGAGTCACAACGGGACGCCCGTCAATGTATTCGCACATCTTTACGACACTTTGTGTGTGTGTGTGTACACACATATATATTCGATTGCATCTTTAAAGGCCCACCGGGTTGGGGGAAGATGCCGTCTGGGAGGTCCCCGTTGCCACCTCGCGCTTTGCCAACCACGGGGTCGGTCGGTGGCAAGTTGGTCACGCAAAGTGGCCGATGGACATTTGTAGAGGCGACGTGAAGGCCCATGGCCATGTGGAATTGTACATTTGGGTCATGGTGGTGGCACTGCAGTGTGGTCGAGTCATTTGTTTGTTTATACAGGAAATAATTAAGGAGTTAGCACGACTCAATTTTTTTTCCCCCCACAGTGGCCCTTGCGATGTGATATGACGGTATTGGCCAGTTCTGCCTAAAAGAACGGAGCGGTTTTTCATTTTTAGATGAAACCGGCGCACCTTAAATAAACCCGCCGCGCAAACGAGGGGAGACAACACTCAAAATGCGTGTACAGGCAGGTTGACGCGAACCCACTTGGTGTAACCTGCCGTCTGATGACCACAATTGCTTCACAATTGCGGTATTCACGTGACACATCAACCCATGCCTCCACACCTCAGGATTAGAGGCATTAGCCAACACGCCTGGCAGAGGGTTCTGCACAATCAGATATAGTTATTCAGAGGCTGTCACCCGCGTTAAATGGGGCTCAGTAGCCGCGGCGTGCAGCACAGTGGGATGGAATTAATGCGCAGACACATCTGGCGATGCGCTTTGGAGACACGGGACAAGGCACAGCAGTGGCAATTCCGCGATGCGGTAAAACGTGCGCTGCCTGTCACAGCAGTCAGCCGCATGTGGCCTTATCCACGTCCTCCAAGGCGCGTCCTGTCATTTGCGCAGAAAACAGCTGTGCCGTAATTGCACCACAGCCCGCAATACTGTCAGCCCAACAGACGCTGACACATTTAAACGGTTGAACTAATTAGTCAAACCGTTAACGAAGCCGGGTTCAGCATTGGTGACATTGAACTAAATTAACAATCCACTTTGTGTCTGCAACGCAGGTTTGCTCAGTGTACATGCTCACATGGCCCGGTTGGAGTGGGTTCTGGCCAGCTGTCTGGTCCTGATGGCCACAGATGGCTTGGTCAGCACGGCCGCATATACCCGCGGATTCTCCGTCAACCAGTTCGGGAGAGATGTGGCGGACCCCAGCCCTGCGCGGGCGCTGCTTGACCTGTGGATGTCGTGCGTGTTGCGGGTATTCACCTCGCTGGTGGTGTGCCTGGGGCTAGCGTGTGGGCCCAACCGGACCACACACGTCCTGCGCAGACTTGTGACACTCTACACCGTGCTGTGTTGTGCCATGCCGATCTACGCCACTGTGAAGTTGCTCATTTTCTCTGAAGGGACGCGGTGAGTTTGAGCTGCCCCATGGTAAAAGTGGTCCCTAGAAATGTAGAGGCGCTGCCCCCCAAGTGCTTACTTGCTTTGTTACTGGCGAAAGGGTGTCCACTAGAGGGAGGCCAAGAGAGCCCCAACGATAGGCCAAATAAAGTAAATGCTTGTAAGTACTGTGAACATTTTCAGTGGCACGTCTTAATGTTTCCCCGTTGTTAATCATCCTTTCGAGCAGTCATTCAATTAGAACAAATATTGAGAGAGACGGGTGATTAATAACTTAGCAATAAATAGCATTGTTAGAGTGTTGTGATATTGCTTTTGAAATGTTTATTTTCTTGGTACGCTTAAAGAGTATGGCAACATCGATATCTAAATAGAAGAATATGCAAATTGGTAAAATGTGCGGTGTGAAATTTCGTCGAGACAAGACATTCATAATTTGTTTCGATGTATAATTGCATGATATATTCGTGAAAAGTTTCCTAATTCAAAACTTTATTGATATCACAAAGTATACTGTATCTCTGGATCCTTTTTTTCTTCATTTCATGCTCATTCCATTAGTGTCTATCTTGCTTAAAAGTTTTATTGGATACTAAAATCCTTGAAGCTCTTTTAAATTAGTTCTTAGGAGGTGCAGTAAAACTGATCTCACTTCAAATAAATTTGATATAAATTTGCAGATTATTTATGTGAGCGTAAATCGCTTGGAATTAGAGCAGAGTACTCGACTTCTACTGAATTCACCAAATAAGTGTCTGGCGGGCTTATTGTTTGGCTAAGTAATTCTATTGTGCATTCTTTTCATTTTACTCATCTAACAGCTGCTCACATATGGCCCAATAAAAACACCGCAATATATATTTAAAAGTCTCGCACGGAGTAAAGCGACATTTCATCACTCTCCTGCGTTTCGTAAACTCTCAGTAATATCGGTTCTGCCACTGTATTTCCACAGGGACTTCGACCCGTGGTTCTGGGCACTGTATGTGTGGACGCTGGTTTCTTCGCTTCTGCTCTATGGCACGCTGCAACTGGCCGCGGTCCATGGCGTCGGCTTGCGGTCGTCGTCGAGCGGAATCCAACGGCGAGGCGACAGGGAGGAGGGAAGTGAGAGAGAGCGGCAGAGGCTGCTGGACGAGCATGGGAAGGGGGTGGATGGCAGTGGACTGGAAGGGCAGGATGTGGGTCGTGGAAGCAAGAAGGCCTCTCGAACCAACGTTCAGCGATTGTTTTCCCAGTGCAAACCGGATGCTCTCTATCTGGCTGGTGCATTTATGTTTCTGGTCATTTGCTCTATAGGTGAGTTCACAGTAGATTGCCAACACATGATATATAAATGAATTGAACATGAACTGCTTTAACAAACAAAAAAAAACCCCTATGAAACCAAGGCTGGTACTGTATGTAACATGCTCTCAATAACGATTTGACCATTAATAATGGACAAGCGTATGATAGAGCATACAGAATGGTACTTTTAGGTTTAGTTCATATTATATTAGAGATGGCTGGCTAACTCAGAGCTCAATATGTTGAGCTGGCGCTGCCGTGATCCTGATTTGCATCCTGTCAGGTGCCCGCGATTAAACTTTTCTCAAAAGAGGCCGGAATTCTATTCCCAAAAGATGTTGCATTATCTGTCATTGTGTTTTTGTGATGTACGCTTATCTGGAAGGCACTCACAAAGCATTTATTTATTTATTTGCAGGATCCTTTAGGTGATTGCTGTTTCAAAATCCGCTCACAGTCGGCAGTCTAAAGTGCACTTGTAAAACTGATAAATACAATTTGCAACGTTTAAAAGTCATCTTGGGTGTGGCTTTTGTCAAATATTTAAATGAATGGAAAAACAATAGGTGGCAAGGTGGCTCAGAGGTCAGAATGCTGAACCAGCACAAGTTAGATGTTCGGTTTGAATCCAGGCAGCCATCTGTGAGTAAACTGGATTCTCAAGTGTATTTAGTAGATGATCTTAGTAGCCTGGTCATCCATGACTGCACAAAAAAGTTGTCATGTTACATTTGGTTTCACATTTAAGTTGGCTAAATTCCAGATCTGAGATTTACATTTTTATAAACTTGACTCCCAGGGGCGGAGCCAGGTGGGGTGACAGGGGTGACATTCTGCGTATAAGTGTACGACACTCGGTCTGGCGGACTCCGTGCAACTGCATTGTCAGAGTGTGTCGCCAACCGATGGCGTCTAGTTCAACAGCCTGACTCTCTAATCATTCTTGAAATTAAAATTTGTTGAATGTCACCCCGGCCTGAAATCCTGGCTCCACCCCTGTTGACTCCCATGTGACCAACGTTACCCTGTAGCAAGGCAGATGTCTGTATCTTGAACTTCTTTCGCACCATATGTGGCCAACCGTGCGAATCAGAGGTGGGAAACTACTGCTCCCTAGTGTGAAGAAGAGGTCAGTTGAAGAGATGCCAGCAGACTGTTCTTTAATACAGGGCGATTTACTGTTCTGTTAGAGCTCAGAATGTATCATTGGTCTCGTGACATAATGCTGATGGCACGTCAGATAAAATTGGAGAAAAAGACAAGCCTTTTTGTAAAGAAGTTTGTGTTTTGTATTTCGTATTTCACATCTTATTGTAACCTAATAACATTTTTTTTATTACCATCGTTTAAAGAACATTGGTACGTTTTTAGAATAAAGAAATCTTACTTGCCATGTTATTGTTCACACTGTGCATGTTGTATTTAATTAGGAGAAATATTTATTCCTTACTACACGGGCCAGGTGATCGATGGAATTGTCATAAAGAAAAGCCAGGCTGCATTCAGCAAAGCTATCCTTTATATGTCTCTCATTGCCATAGCCAGGTAAGCTTGGAGTCCACTCATTATATACAGTCAACATTTACACTGATGGGAACAATTATTTAAGAAATTCCTCAGTATTTGGTTGAAACATACCTGACAACATTTATGTGCACTTACAAATATAGTTTGGAATTGTGTTTACTGTGTAGAGTGCAAAAAACAATATCGTACATTTTAACTTGGATATCTTTTTTTCTATAAAGTAATATGCCATACCACAACACAAAATTATCATTGTGAAGATTGTAAAAAACACAATAACTAATCCTTACATCCCATTTTTGTCTTTCCTCTTAAAAAGAAAAATCTTGAGAGACTGCTTGTTTAAACTGCTCCAGAGTTGTATTTTATTGAACAAGACATTGAATGTTGAAACTGGTTCAGAGTTCGCCTGTATTGAACCAATGCTGCTGATAAGATGCACTCCCAGAAGGCTGTTTGGTTGATAAGGTGTGTAAATTTTTTTTCATTTTTTATGTGGAGAGACAAAACATTGGAAGGAGGTGTAATTTATTTATTTAGGAGCAGCACAATGTGCCTTAACTGGCATCGTTTCCATGTAGTATTGCATGATAAAAGTTGTGTTGACTTTAATGAATTAATGTTTTGTTATGTTTACAAAGCATATACTCTGTTTTCAGTGCAATACAATGCAAGTGGTTTTCGCAGTGCTTCTTTGACCTTCCATGGATGTAATCTTAACCCTTAACTCCAGCTCCATAGCTGCTGGACTGCGAGGTGGCCTATTCACGCTGACGATGTCTCGTCTCAACATCCGCATTCGCAATTTGCTCTTCCGTTCGCTCATCCATCAGGAGGTGGCCTTTTTTGACACCACCCGCACAGGTGTGTCAGCGTTGCTCACCGCTCGATGAGTTTCGTACAATGTGTTTGTCTTTGTGCGCTTTATTTGCTTCTTTTGATAGAGTCCGGCGCATCTGTGCCTTTTGACGTGTGACGCATTTTCTGCTGTTTTTTTTCCGCAAGGGGACATAACGTCACGACTGAACTCGGATACAACGGTGGTGAGCGACGTCGTGTCTCAAAACGCCAACGTTTTCCTGCGGAGCCTGGTCAAGGCTGGCGGAGTGTGCATCTTCATGTTCGGACTCTCCTGGCGGCTCAGTCTGCTCACTCTGCTGGGTCTGCCCATCGTCACACTTGTCTCCAAGTTCTACGGAGACTTCTATGAGGTACCATCTTTCACAGTACACGCACAAGAATGTTCGTGTAAAGTAATTTTCTTTCAAAAATATGAGGCCACCATTCACGGACAGTCAGCAGTCGGATAATAGGGATGTGTTCCTGGTTTTCCGATTTAAATTCATGAAGATGAAAAAATCGGACCTGGGTACAAAATTTAGGATCCCCAATAAAAAGTTGTTTCAGATTGATCCAAGTCTATGATGTCATAGGAAATGGCATCACTTCAGAGATGTTTCGCATCCGACCGTGGTGTCATGTGGAATTTTTCCAAAATCTCAAAATGTTAAATTTTAATGTCACCTCTAGAAGGGTCGGTAAAACGGCCTTTTGTATAAACATCTGAGCACGTTATTTTAAACCCCTTCGGATACTTTGTGTGAAGGTGTATTTTAACGTAACAAAAAATGCCTACATTGTTATTTTGTGGCTGATTGTGTACGAATGAAAAATGAATAATGTAAAATATTTCTTCTTTGACGAACAGGGCTCCATCATTCAGTATGGAGTGTCCTTGTTAATAACATCTGGCAGCCCAGCTACATTTATTTGTTTAACAAGCCTGACTGCTGATGAGACACAGAAGATCAAAACCGGAAGACAGTTTGCTTGCTGAAATAAATCATCCTTATGGCGGTACCCCGGGGTACTAAATAATACAAAATGGCCAAGGCAATTAAATATTTTATTTCTGGGACACTTTTTTCCAGGGGTGTTACTAAGCGCGGTGACTGGGGTACCAATCAATCCGAAATCAGCGCTACTCCGCGATGTCGAAACGCAGCGAGGACGATTGTGCCGAAACTCTGAACGCTCGTACGCACCGTGGTGGTGCATCGTGAACAGCTCGTCGAGATGAGTCGATTGCCACATCGCCGACCATCAACAGACTAAAAATGACTGCATCACGGACAGTATGCGAGAGCCGGGGTACTGCCATAAGGTTCAAATGCTGCTGGATTATATAGATAGATTGTATTTATTTCAGCAGGAAGGACCTAATGATCTTCTAGGCCATGATTCATTGGGACCCTGCGATGGTGCAAATGTTATACAGTACAGATTTCAGTTATACAAGCATGGCCAGGTGACACGCTGATGAACTACATTTCTTTTGAAATGTATATGCAGAGATACAGAACTCCGTCCAGGTTAAAATATACTACTGTATAAAGCTAAAAGCATACACCTTTGGTGATTTTTGGTTGTGACACTCACTCGAGTTGCCTTGCGGCTTCGCAGAAACTGTCCAAGGCGGTGCAGGACTCCTTGGCGGTGGCAAGCGGCGCTGCCGAGGAGACGCTGGCGGCCATCCGGACGGTGCGGAGCCTGGCCGGCGAGGAGGCCGAGTGCCGTCGCTACCGTGATGCGCTGCAGCATACGTACCGCCACAACCGCCGGCAGGCCCTCGCCTACGCCGGGTTCTCGTGCAGCAACAGCGTAAGTGCCCTCAGGCGATGGATGCTCGTTATGCACCGATTGATGTGTGTTGTGATCCTCTCGGGGAATTGGGCTTGCGCTCAGTAGGCATGTAATGATGCATCGGATTGTTGATCAAAAAATAACTCCCCCCCCCCCAACCAACACCTTGATTGCCCATTGTGCTCTATTCGGATAGAATACATTTAAAAAGTCATAGATTACAACACTTTGTCAGTCAACTGCTGGATGAAGGACTCCACATGCCATGTTGACATTGGGGGTTGTTTCTCCATACTTTACTGTGCTGTGCTATGCAGATTAATTAAGTTTTGGTGTTAAGGGGGTGTATCCAGTACTGGTCCAGATATCACCACTGATATTCACCATTGTTAGGAATTGAACATGTGTTGTCGGTTTCAGAGGGCAGCGTGCAAATCACTGCACCATAGCTCCATCCCTTGAGCGTGCATGCTATCAAAGCTTGTGTCCAGCGTTCTTATAAAATGTTGTTTTGTGTTTCCGTGCATGACAGTTGACACAGCTGGCCCTGCAGGTGGGCATCCTGTACTATGGAGGACACTTGGTGGTGACTGACCGCATATCAGGCGCACACCTTATCTCCTTCATCCTTTACCAGATGGAGCTAGGCGCCTGTCTGGAGGTACAAACAGAGGAAGCCTTCTGCATGAGACCCATGGGACACAGGGCTCTTTGACACTGCATTCCCACGCCCAGTTAATAGTCGCGGATTCCCACGGCAGCCTACGAGCCAAACCCGAGCCACGTGGCTCAGTTTGTTTTACGTCAAGTGGTTCGCTTGGCTGGTGGGGCTATCCGCGTTCAGCCGGGCAGAGCTTGAAAAAAGTTGTCTCGTCAGAACATCAGATGGAAAAGCACGAAAGCGATTCGCAATGTCTATCACCTATGTCAACTTGAGGGCCGTGTTTGTATTTGTAAAAAAACACAAAGCATTATATTTTATAACCAATTATTTCTTGGGATAGTGTATGCTAATAAAAAATATAAAACTATTAAAAACTATTTTTATTTTACCAGCTAAGGCTCACTGAACTATGTAGCTATTTATCAGAACCGACCTGGCCACAAATGATAGCCCAATGAAGTGGCTTATCACGTGGACATTTATAGTAGGCAAATAATCTTAAACGTATGTTTATAAATGTGGAGGGAAAAACCGGAGGACCTGGAGAAAAATCCACGGGACCACGGGGACAACATGCAAATTCCAAATATACAGGCGTCAGGGTTGGGATCGAACCCACACCCTCCATTATACCAGGCGAGGTAGTTAACCTGTTGCCACCGTGGCGCCCCATTTGACAAGAGGGAAGAGATGGGGGGACGTTGGTAGGTTGGATTGGAGGGACTGAACCCATGGGGCCGTGTGTTGGGACAACACCTGAGTCGTACTGATTGTATGTATGTTGGACTTGTTTCGAACCGTACGTAGCCAACCGTGCTACTGGATTGTTCCTGAAATGCATGACACGGAGTGTAAATGCTCGTGGGAATGCAGCATTAATCAGTGGAAGAAAGCATGAAAGGTATATATAGAAAAAAAGTGTATCTGTATTTAGGGAGCATAACGGTTATTCCCCGAAATTAATATTCCTTGTATATCTTTGGCCATTGGCATTACTCGGAGCGTTTGTTAATACGTCTATGGGAACTACAAACTCATTATTGACTGCGATTGCAGAAGGCAGAAGTTAAACTCGCTCATGCAACTTGTGCCACTGAAAAGTAAAAATTGGCTAATTAGTTAATTTCACTTGAGAGTTATTATTTCTAATAGATAAAAAATTAGGGAAAAGTGTAAAACACATTCCTGCGGAGGGGGCTGGTAGGAAATTTTGAAGTAATTATGAAGTAATTATGTACGGATATTTAAGCCAAACTTGTTAGGGTCGTGCGCAGAAGAAAGCAAAATGAAAAGTGAGCAGAATTATAATACGACGCCAGAAAGTGCAGTGTATTATCCCCTGCCTCCTATGAATTAATCCCGGTTGGGCTTCCAGTCCATATAAGGGCACCACGGGGTGACCAGCCCCTCCCCACCCAGCCCCACCCCACCCTGCCCCACCCGTCCCACCCCCCACCCAGCCCCACCCAGCCCCTCCCCACCCAGCCCCTCCCCACCCAGCCCCTCCCTACCCTCCCCTCTCCACCCAGCCCCACCCCTCCGACGTGGACAGACATACACAATTAATCCCCTGCCTCCTGTGAATTCATCCCGGTTGGGCTTCCAGTCCACTACATTCACTACCAGTATTAATGGGTCATAAATGCTGATTGTTACGTGTCGGGAGTTTCTAGGGATTTACTTGGGCCTCACGCCCTTATTGGTACCCAGAACATGGGTTCGGTGTACACAGGGCTGATGCAGGCGGTTGGTGCTGCCGGCAAGGTGTTCGAGTACATGGAACGGGAGCCGCGCATGCGCACCGATGGGACCTTGGCACCTGTGCAGTTGGAGGGGCAAGTTTCTTTCAAGGATGTCACCTTCGCGTACCCATCAAGGCCTGACGCACCTGTGCTGAAGGTACGGGAGCGAGGCCTCGGTGAATGGTAAATTGTGTTTCTTTGTTGAGGTGCAGAATCAATCTTACTCATTCAGAATGTACCAGGTATATCGACCGGATAGTTACGTGACGTTCACAAAGGACTCCTAGTTGTAAAAGAGGAACGCATTTCTGTTATGAATTTCAATGGAATTTAATTGACACTTCGCAGTATTTCAACCAGGACATTGGGACTAATGCCTTTTGCCGTTATTGAAATTTTGCTGCAGTGTAGACGGAGCTTCAGTTTTATAGAAATCCGATGAGACAATCAGTGCAAATTATCCGTGTAAAATAGTGCTCATCTAAAAATAATTTAATTTTACTTTTGGATGCCGAGTATCGCTCACAGAGCAGTTAAAATATGGGCATGCACGGTTCATTAGTTTTGGCTTGCACGTGACTCTTGCAAGGTTAGGTCATTGTGGACCAATCCATTGTCCATTTCCTCCAGATCAGGGTGAAACAAAGTCTTCCACGAAGCGTAAGTGATTCACAGTGTGTGTATATAAATAAATCCATTTACGATTTATCTTGAATCTTATGTATCGTACGGCTTTTAAAATAAAAAATTTACACAAGGGAAAAAAAAAACTGAATTTAACATTTCAGTCATGGGAGTGGAAAACATTGTTTTCCATTCTCACAGTCAGCACTAAAAACTCTTCCCCTCATCCAGCTGCCCAACCTCTCCTCCACGGCTACATGGTGCCCACTTGCTCACATTCCCATTTCACAGTACCTTGGCTAGGTCACTTAGAGGTGAGAGCGCTGAGCTGGGCACCGTTGAGATTCTGGGTTCGAATCCAGGGAGCCACCTGTGATTCAAGTGAGTTTCTCGAGTATTGTGAGTTGATGGTCTCAGCCCGGTCACCAATTAAAAAAAAAACCAGTGCCTTCAAATTTTTCTGCGCTTAATCTAGCAAAATTCCATCTCAAAGTTTGACTGCCATGCAACAAACATTACTCTCATATGGCAGACAGGGTGGGAAAGTGCTGCCGTCTACTGTGTTCTGCAGGCGATTTGAAGGGATCTCAGATGTGCCTCTGTGATATCCGCTTTCTTGGGCCATTTTCTAACATTCAGAGTTGCACTGCTGTGTGAGAGCCGTGACACCGACAGCACTTGTAACATTGGAACAAAATATCAGATACAAAAAACAATTTTCTCAATGGGGGACTAACTGACGATCCAAATTGTTGCGTGGTTATCTGAGCCACAGGGCGTGTCATTTGAGCTGCAGCCTGGCCTGGTAACGGCACTGGTGGGGCCGTCTGGGAGCGGCAAATCATCCTGCGTGCATCTGCTTCAACGTCTCTATGAACCTCTGGGCGGCCGCGTGCTGCTCGATGGCCAGTCAGTGCACAAGTACCAGCACCACTACCTGCACACTAAGGTAAGGGCGCATCACAATCACCTGACTGGAATTTAACGACCTCCACGGGCGTTGTCACTCGGAGAAGGCTGGAGAGAATTGGGTACTCGTTTGTGTTAACATTTGGCGGTGCGGTGGGCTGCATTGCTTGTGGCTGTTGGCAGGTGGCGCTGGTAGGACAGGAACCCGTGCTCTTCGCACGTTCTCTTCGGGACAACATTGCTTATGGCATGGAAGACTGCCCAGAGAATGCAGTAATATCTGCTTCACAGCAAGCGAATGCTCACGAATTTATCTCTGACCTGCCTCTTGCTTACCAAACAGGCAAGTACTATGGTTACTCATGCCTGGCACCTTTATTTTTATGAGCCCTCCCACTTTATGCATCGATGTGCATCATACTTTGCACATGTGGTCTGGGTGAGCAGTGAAAGGTTTCCAAGCATCCTCTTGCCTGGTAATGGGAAAGCAGAAGATAGATGGACGACATCAGAGAAGGACTGCATAGAGATGGGGCTCGAACTCGCAGAGGGAGAGAGTCTCGCCAGGGACAGACAGACGTGACTTTACCGAAAGAACCAAGAATATGAATAAGTGAGAGGCAGCTAGATTTTACAGAAGCAGAATCGTCATTGGATAAGATAGACTTGCCAAAGATAGACAGATAGACACACCAGAGACAATCAAACAGACTCGACAGGGACACACGGGGGTGGTGGGTGGCCATGGACTGACTGCCGACACGCAGAGAACCTTCAGCGTCACCTCAGCTATTAAGTAACTTTGTGCAATGAAGTTTAAAATCATGGAGGATCAGCCACAGTTTTTTAATAGCTCTTGTGAGCAACTTTACACGGTGCAGCACTTGGAAGAAAGGTGGTAGGGTTACTGAGAGAGCTAATACTGTCAGGACTTAGGAAGCGCACTAATACGATCCTGGGCTTGAGTCCAGACAGTCACCTTTGATTAAACCAGGTTCACAATTTTCGTGAGTTAATGGTCTCTGCCCAGTCACCAACGACTGCACAGAACATATTAACCATAATAGAGATTTTTTGGGTTAGATCGCGTAAATATATAAATGTGTCGGTAAAACCCGCCACCACCCAACACAGCCAACAAGTAAGGGTTGTCATGTAAACAGAACAAGCCAATTCGTCACTAGTACAGCACACGGTGTATTGGAGAGCCAAGCCACAGCATTTACAATCTGAGTACGACGTTTCACCAGTAATTACAACTAGCTTCATCAGGCGACAGCCAGATTTGTGGAGAAGCCTTACTGTTTCGTTCCTTATATAGAGGCGTCGATGTGTTTACCACGCTTCTGCGCTCTTGCACAATTTGGGGAGATTACTGATGTAACATACATTATGCTTGTGCATTATGCGAGCCCTTTGAACTTGTCCTTCCTGTCTATTGTGTTTATTAAAATAGCTCTACCAACGGTAATCCCTATACCAGATGTTGATTTCTGTACGCTGCCCTTTGTAGGCATGCATTTAAATAATGTGTTATATGATGATTCGCTTCCACGCAACACTAAGACGGTAGCTATCCGAACGGTTAAAGTTATTTTGATTTCTTTCAATTTCGATAGATTCTCTAATTAGTCTTGGCCAGTAGTAGCTAGTTTTGCACAAAACTTCAACATTATCAAAATCAATTGAGTGTCCTTGTTGGCACGCGTGTTCTGCTACTGCTGACAGTTGTATTTGGGGGAATTTAATATTTCTCTGATGTTATTTTAGTCTCGTGCTGATCATTCGTCCTGTTTGCCCAACGTAACATTTACCACACGTGCAGTTAATCCTGTACACACCTTCTGTTGATAGCTTCAGTAATACATCTTTTGTACCAGATATTAATTTCTGTATTTTATGTACCGTGCCAAATCTGACTCGAATTAGTTTTTTTTCCAAACATCTGGCTAGCTTATCAGTTACTCCTACAATGTACGGTATTTTGACCGCACAGAAATCTGTTCTTATCACGACGGTCATTCATCGAGCTAAGAAAGTCAGATGGTGACAGACTGAGAAGTGAAATTCAACATGTTAAAGAAGCGCTGCAAAATGAACGGTTACAATGATGCACAAATCAACGGGGCATTGAATACCAAAACCAATTAAAATAGCAAGAGCATTGAAACTGCCCAAGTAATTAAAACGATCAAAATAGCCAAATCTGGCTGTCGCCTGATGAAGCTAGTTGTAATTACTGGTGAAGCGTCGTACTCAGATTGTAAATGTTGCGGCTTGGCTCTCCAATACACCGGTGTGCTGTACTAGTAACGAATTGGCACGTTCTGTTTACGTGACAACCCTTACTAGTTGGCTGTGTCGGGTGGTGGCGGGTTTTACCGACACATTTATATATTTACGCGATCTAACCCAAAAACCTCTATTATGGATGATATTGGTCGAGAAAGCTTACGTGTTAAACAGAACATATGAAGTTGTAATTTTCAATTAATTAAAAAAAAATGTTTACCCTCTAAGGACTAAACACGATAAAAAAATTATACAAATGTTGATTGATTGCCATGTGGTGAACACCTCTATAGTAGGGCCAGTGAGAAAGTGCACCAGCTAATATTCGATGAGAGGTCAGTCCTTATCCTTGGGTGATGCACTCTGCAAGAGTTACAGATCACAATTGAATTCGTAATTGGGGGGAAATAGCAAAAACAAATGAGAAAATGTGGAAAGTCTGCATTCATGCATTGGCTACCTTGCATTGACCTTCCAGACTTAATTTAAACTGTGCCCGGGCGAAGCCGAATTGTTCATTGTGTGTTTTATAGACCTTGTTCAACTTGCCAGGGGGTACTAATTTTTTTTTCCGGCATTGGCGCTCTGTGTAACAGAGGCTGGGGAAAAAGGAGCCCAGCTGTCGGGCGGGCAGAAGCAGCGCGTGGCGATAGCGCGTGCACTGGTGCGGGACCCACGCGTCCTCATCCTGGATGAGGCCACCAGTGCTCTGGACGCAGAGAGCGAGCACATGGCGAGTCTTCACACCACATTCCGCATCGTCACATAAACTCACCGCAGATCAAAGTCAAATGGCTTTATGAACTTCAGGACCATTTACTTCCAAACCAAAGTGTTTACAATCACGTTTATATTATTTGTCACTTGGCAGGCAGCGAATAGCAGTGCACTAAGATCCACTGTCGTGATGATGTGCTTGTATGGTGCATATTTTACCAGCCGCACTCGCTGCATGCATGCCATGTTCATGAACTGCACATGCCACGATCGTGTGCATATCTACATCAGCCCTTTTGTCAATGCACTGCTAGATGAGGGCCTCCCAATACTGTGTGGGTCATGGGGGTTGTTTTCTGTTCGGTAAAGTTCACGAAGGGGGGGACCAGAAACAGTTCAGATATCACGTCCCGTTGATGTTAGCCGTAGTCAGAAATTGAACAGTGCAATTCACCGTACAATTATTCCGTCACTAACTGCGTAAGAATAATGCAGGCAGGGAGCAAAGACACGGGGGCCGTCAAAGGAAAATCCAACAACGGAATTTGCTGCACTGGTATACTTCTCTGCCGCCCACCGCGTCAACCACTACGGTATAACCGGGCCTTAAAAGACGATCTCTGTCTTCATATACATAGGTGCAGCAAGCTCTGTACAATGGCGAGTTGCGGGGCCGCACCGTGTTGGTGATCGCCCACCGGTTGAGCTCTGTGGAGCGTGCCGATCACATTGTGGTGCTGGAGCACGGCCGGCTGGTGGAGCAGGGACCTCACGCTCAGCTGATGCAGCAGGGCGGTTTGTACGCACGCCTCGTGCATCGCCAGATGCTGGGGCTGCCCTCCGCCATTGACCCCAGTGAGAAGGAAGTTGTTGGCCCAGATGAGGTAGGCTTTGCACAATTTCTGTACGTCAATTTTTTTTTCATTATCTTAATCGTCAAACAGGCATGATCGGCGCCCTGCTGAATGAAGGTTTCCCAAAACCGTCACCATATCTCATGATCCTGCGATGTAGTTATCCGTCTTGCCGATTCTTCGCTCCACCTTCCTTGGTTGGAGTCCTCTTGGATGCGTTCCGTTCCCTGGCGGCCACTCCACCACTGCTGTTGACAAGCGTGCACCTCTCCATAGGCAACTTTAAAATGTGCAATGCGAGAGAAATAATTGTACGTCGCTTTGCGGATTGTAAAAACTAATCCACTGTTGTCATTGATGTGTACTTGACTTAACCAGGTAAAGAGCGCACACTCGGATGTGGGTGCTGGATCACAAATGGCCAGCAAGTGGAGCACAAGACCAAACCTTTGCCCAGGCACCCCAATCTTCACTCACGTTCAGACCAAGAGTTTGAATGGAGCGTCTCGTGCACGGCATGGCACTTCCGTGGAGGTTGTCACAATTCCTATGGGAAATGGGGAAAGAACACCCGTCTCGCATTCTCTGTAAGGCTTGGTTTGTTCCTGTGTGCGCATGCAGGAGATGCGTTCTTGAAGGCAGTGCCCTGTTTTTTTTAAGTCTACAGTGAGAGGGTTACAATATGTTCTTTTTTGTTGAAAGTTAAACGTTTGATTCGTGCACTGCCTTTCTTTTCATCAAAGAGAGTATCCTTTGATGCTGTACTCAACTCTATATTCTTTTACAGTGCTGCTGCAGGTGGTCAGGAATGGCAGATGCAATATATATGTGTGCAAATGTAGCCGTATTGTTTATTGCCCCCCTTGCCAGAGGAAAGAAGGGATTATACTTTTATGCCTGTCCATTGGCAAGACAATCCTAATTAATGTTTACTCACTGTCCTAAAGCACTGGTGAGCATATGCCTGATTGGAAATGATAGTGAATATAAGTGGACAAGTGGTAAGTTGGAAGTCTGTTCAGATTATTTCACGTAAGTTTTTTTTACCCTTCATTTTTGTGTTATGTTTGAAACTTATTTTTTTGTTTTACATCCATTGCTGGTTTGTTCTGTAGTCATGGTGTGAAGTCATACATACTGTATTGCCCTTATTACTATCGCTTGTTTACTTTAGTACAGAGAACATTACATGCAGTTTGCATTATTTATTGAGGTATAACTTAAGTGCAATATATAGTTCTTGTTTGCGTTCAGTAATTGTATTCGCATAATACGGTTAAACCATCATATATAATTCGATGCTTGTGTTGTATTTCACTGCATATTAATGTGATGATTAGTGTCTGTGGCTGATGAGACTGCCGTAGCACAGTCATCAGGGACGCAGTCATATTCACGAACCCCCCTGTGCCAGCCAATCACCAGGCTGGCAGGTACAAGCAAGCTGCGTTTTTGTCAACATGGATTCAATACCAAAAAGCACTACAATACTTCAAACACCAGATGAAGCAGAAAAACGGACTGGACTTGCCAGTCAAGTGTAAGGATCTTTCAAAGCCATGACCCCTTAATCAAAGGTCAAAGTAAAAGTACCTTATTGGATTTGCCGAGTCAGAATCCTCGCGTGTTCCTCGCATGAATGGCTGTGATACCGCAGCGGAGACCTTATGTCAGGTGTGTTTCACTGGACAGATACACGAGGCAGAGTTACACTGTTGTACATGGAAGTGCGGATTCTTTTCATGTGTCGGATTACTGTATGCTGTGAATTTAAGATCGTTTCCGCCAGTGTGTATTTGAGGGTAATTTATATAATGTACTTTTGCATTTGTGGGAGCGGTGGTTTTTGCACCATTCCTGGCCATGGCTAACATCTGGGGTCATTGATAACGAAAACCTTCACTATCAAAGTGGTAGAGTATGGTCAGAGAGCTTCCATGATCAAAGTAAGTCCCAACACTTGTTCTCTCGCACGCTCTTATGAGTCCAGCTCATCACGAATGCACACAAAGGTGTGGACGGGCCTTCTTCAAGCAGTGGGTTGACGGAGGGCTGTAAATACATATTTATTGATGGCAAGTTTTTCTACGAAATGAGCAATAAACCAATGAATATGTCTAATATAACGGCGCTCAAACATCGTATATGAATTTCGCTTACATCCACCATCTCATATACTGTACTGCATTTCATCTTTGTTAACATGGTTTGGCACAGCTGATGTAACAAGGTGGGCAACTTTAGCGTGTCTACTTTGTAGTATGGAGGTCAAGTTACTACTCTCATAATCATCAACATCTTCATAAAAAAAACACATGCTGCACTATACCTACAAATTGAAATAAAAATGTAATGGAGAATTACATTGTTGAATCGTGAGTTATTGAGGGATGACACGTGAAGTTTAGGATGCTTACAATGTCCTGATGTCGGGCCTGCTTTCGAACACGAGGTTATGCAAAACTCGGTTGCATATTAATTCACAGTGCTGGGAAATGTACTAACGTCATCGGAGTAACCACTCAAGCCCTGTTGTAATAGCTTCATACACATCGCGAACGTACACGATATAATAGCATGTGTATTCGCTGTTCATTTCGGGACATTTTGTGGTTTAAGTGCAACAACGTGAAATAAACGCGTGCAATGCTAAATTCACACGGTGCTGTGTGTGTGTAGTTATGTGACGAAAGGGACACAGGTGATGGAATGGTTTGCAATGATGTATGTATGTTGATATCCACACACCAGTCGCAAGCCTCGTTTAAAGTGTTAATACCTCTTCTAAATATCAATAATGAACACGTTATGTCCAGAACATTACACGTAATACCCTTGATATTTCTTTAACAGCGGGGGTGTTGATGTGGACCAGCGCGTGTCGTGAGCCCGATGTTTGCTCAACCACTGCCCGAGAACTCTCCCGTGAGTGCTGTCAGAAAACATTTTTTTTTAAAACACGGACTATATCCACTCATCAAGTGAAGTAACTCTGCTACAAAATGTACTGGAAGGTTTACTGTCAAAGCATTTGAAATCACCTCCCCCCCCACCACCACCTTGTGGAGATTAGAGCGTAAACTGCACTTTTTACTGCAGCAATGCCAAGACTTATCTGGGTTTTTTTTGGCTGTCGCGTTTGCCGGAGTGGAGGTTGGGCATGAGAGGCCGACGTGTGAGGCTCGCTGTACGAAGCCGTAATGAGAATCACCGATCCCCAAACGTGGCTAAGCGAAGTCGTCCAGAAGCACGCAACGGGTGTGGTCACCGAAGGCTTGGGTGGCTTTGACGCACCCAATAAATCGATGTCGACCTATCCTACAACCCTCGGTTGTCTAATGTAGACATTTAAATAGCGCAAGGTAAATGGAACTGCGACATTATTGGGGGGGGGGGGGAATATTTTATCTTTCGTGAAAAATTGTTTTTTTTTTTACAACGTAAGAAGGTTCGATGTGTTCGTGCTTAGCATGTTATATAGAGTAGGGAAGTGGGAATTTTCAGGGGTTTCACGTTAAATAATTGAAATGCTAAAGTTTTGCTTTTGTCCAAAGGTTAATGTTTCCACTGTGTTCAAACTTAGTTGAGCTCTATATGAAACGTAAACGTGGACATTTTTCACAATCATTTTTTTTCACCCAGAAAATTCGATGTGATTTTTCTTCAAAATATTAGTTTTACTTTAGTTATTAAAAAAAAAAGCCGATCCTCCATCGCGTTCGTTCAGGGTGTCTATGTCGTATATTAAAACAAAACTGGAACTTTTCCGAATCAAAATTTTCACCAGGAAGAAATCAACACGCTCAACCATATCGGTCTTTTTGTCCAATAAATAGCCAACATTTTCTTGCTTGATTCTTTCAATCTTTATTTGAAGCTTTCGTGACTGCAGGAATCCGTGCTCTTTGACACCTACGTGACTTTACCGAAAGAACCAAAGAGTATGATTCTTTCAAGTCAAGTCAATTTTATTTCTACTCAAACTCCTGGCGCCTTTCCGGTCATTCTGCTACAAATCTGCCACTCAAAGCGCCATCATCACATGAATACTTACATAAAAATAGAACATTCTCTACAATGACAGAAAACATATACTATCTCTGAAATAAAAGCCAATTTCTCCCTTGTTGCTTTGGCTCGGTTTTACTGAAACTTAAATTTTTATATATATATAAAAAAACGAAAATTGGAGTGAATTTCAGTTCTTCAAGTTTCTTTGGTAACAAATCCATACCCCCCAAGTCGCTGCCTGTGCTGTGCCCAAGAGCTCGCATTAAAATGTTGTCCAATCAAAAAACCCAATCACCTCCTTACACTAATTGCAAAACAAACAAACACACACACGCCTCCACATAACACCCCCACCCCCCCTTTAACAGCAAAATCAGCAGCATCATAATCATCACCACCACCACCACCACACATGTTCCCAGTTTGACCTTTGGAACAAGATACAACCCTTCTGTGTGCATGGCATCTCTCCACCCCCCCCCCCTTTAACCCCTCGTTCTCAACATCTCCCGTTCCCAAACACCCAACCCCCGCAACCTCTTGCATCAACCTAGCCAGCCCCTTGCTCACACCACCACCACCACCACAGCGAAACCCCAACCCAGACTCGTCTTCTCCCCGCGTCGATACAGCGAAAACGCAAGCTTGCTCGCCTGCCCTGTTGCCTGCCCTGCCCTGCATGCTGCTGCTGCTGCACATTGCTCATTCGAATGGCGATGACATCAGCTGCTGTTCGGTTCACGCTCGCTTTGATAGTCGTGCAATTTGCGGCCATGGGTCCTGTCAAAGCAGGTACAGTTAAACACCGACGTTTGTGTGTGTGTTGGTGCTGGTGTGTGTTGGTGCTGGTGTGTGTACTGGTGTGCGTGCTGGTGTGTGTGTGCTGGTGTGTGTGTTTTGGGGTGTGTGTGCTGGTGTTGGTGTGTATGTGCGCTGGTGTGTGTGTCCTGGTGTGTGTGTGTTTGTGTGTGTGTGCTGGTGTTGGTGTGTATGTGCGCTGGTGTGTGTGCTGGTGTGTGTGTGCTGGTGTGGGTGTGTGTGTTTGTGTGTGTGTTTGTGTGTGTGTGATGGTGTGTGTGTGATGGTGTGTGTGTGATGGTGTGTGTGTGATGGTGTGTGTGTGATGGTGTGTGTGTGATGGTGTGTGTGTGATGGTGTGTGTGTGATGGTGTGTGTGTGATGGTGTGTGTGTGATGGTGTGTGTGTGATGGTGTGTGTGTGATGGTGTGTGTGTGATGGTGTGTGTGTGATGGTGTGTGTGTGATGGTGTGTGTGTGTGTGATGGTGTGTGTGTGATGGTGTGTGTGTGTGTGATGGTGTGTGTGTGTGATGGTGTGTGTGTGTGTGATGGTGTGTGTGTGTGTGATGGTGTGTGTGTGTGATGGTGTGTGTGTGTGATGGTGTGTGTGTGTGATGGTGTGTGTGTGTGATGGTGTGTGTGTGATGGTGTGTGTGTGTTGGTCTGTGTGTGTGATGGTCTGTGTGTGTGATGGTCTGTGTGTGTGCTGGTGTGTGTGTTGGTGTGTGTGTTGGTGTGTTGGTGTGTGTGTGCTGGTGTGTGTGTTGGTGTGTTGGTCTGTGTGTGTGTGCGTGCTGGTGTGTGTGTTGGTGTGTGTGCTGGTGTTGGTGTGTGCTGGTGTTGGTGTGTGCTGGTGTGTGTGTGCTGGTGTTGGTGTGTGCTGGTGTGTGTGTGCTGGTGTGTGTGTGTGTGCTGGTGTGTGTGTGATGGTCTGTGTGTGTGTTGGTGTGTGCTGGTGTGTGTGTGCTGGTGTGTGTGTGCTGGTGTGTGTGTGCTGGTGTGTGTGTGTGCTGGTGTGTGTGTGTGTTGGTGTGTGTGCTGGTGTGTGTGTTGGTGTGTTGGTCTGTGTGTGTGTTGGTGTGTGTGCTGGTGTGTGTGTTGGTGTGTTGGTCTGTGTGTGTGTTGGTGTGTGTGTGCTTGTGTGTGCTGGTGTGGGGAGCGATAGCGCTACGCTGCGCTATGAACGCGGCGACCCGGGTTCGATTCCCGCTCACGGCCAACACCGGTGACGATTATCTGAACCGGTCCCGGGCCTCCCCTAGGTCGACTCAGCCTCAAATGAGTACCTGGTGCGGTGTGTGAACATCGCCACTAGGGAGACAAAGACGGCCGGGCGTGGTGCTGGCCACCCACCCCCTCGTGTACCGTTCCCGGCCTTCATAGGTGCTCGCTAACAGCACTTGCCCCAACAGTCTGTTAAGGCTACATGGGGGATCTTTGTCTTTTTGTGTATGTGTGTTGGTGTGTGTGTGTTGGTGTGTGTAATGGTGTGTGTGTGATGGTGTGTGTGTGTTGGTGTGTGTGTGTTGGTGTGTGTGTAATGGTGTGTGTGTTGGTGTGTGTGTAATGGTGTGTGTGTTGGGGTGTGTGTCTAATGGTGGGTGTGTGTAATGGTGTGTGTAATGGTGTGTGTAATGGTGTGTGTAATGGTGTGTGTAATGGTGTGTGTGTTGGTGTGTGTGTGTTGGTGTGTGTGTGTGTTGGTGTGTGTTGGTGTGTGTGTGTTGGTGTGTGTTTAATGGTGTGTGTGTAATGGTGTGTGTGTGTGTTGGTGTGTGTGTGTTGGTGTGTGTGTGTTGGTGTGTGTGTAATGGTGTGTGTGTTGGTGTGTGTGTGTAATGGTGTGTGTGTGTTGGTGTGTGTGTGTTGGTGTGTGTGTGTTGGTGTGTGTGCAATGGTGTGTGTGTTGGTGTGTGTGTGTAATGGTGTGTGTGTAATGGTGTGTGTGTAATGGTGTGTGTGTGTAATGGTGTGTGTGTGTAATGGTGTGTGTAATGGTGTGTGTGTAATGTGTGTGTGTATGTGTGTGTGTAATGGTGTGTGTGATGTGTGTGTGTTGGTGTGTGTGTTGGTGTGTGTGTAATGGTGTGTGTGTAGTGTGTGTGTTGGTGTGTGTGTATGTGTGTGTGTAATGGTGTGTGTGTAATGTGTGTGTGTTGGTGTGTGTGTGTGTGTTGGTGTGTGTGTTGGTGTGTGTGTGTTGGTGTGTGTGTTGGTGTGTGTGTAATGGTGTGTGTGTTATTATTCCCGGGACTTTATGTACGGACCACGTGTTCTCATTGAAAATAGGTACATAAAAATATCACTGTCCTGGTCACAAAAGCAAAGTTTGTGGGGAATAATAGCCCATTATCTGTACTTTTGAGGCGTAAGCAATTAGAAAATAACACTTACTACCCAGGAACAAAAATATATATTTGTTACACAGTGAATTTTATGATAGCAGTAGGTGTTGGGGGAAGGGTTGGCATTAGTGTCTGACCATAACCGATGTGTCCTATGTGTGCGTGTCTTTACGTGTTTGTAAATATTCTGTAGGTGGTGTGAGTGTATAAAGTGTGGCCTGCGAAGGCACTAAAAACCTCATCCCTCCTCTTCTTGTGCACAGACAGATTATGAAAGTGGGTGTTGGGAGAGTTGGGTCTGTCTGAACATGGCTGATGTGCACCGGGGCTGTGTGGACTTGTGTGCGAATAAAGTAACTATTACTGTTCTGTATGCGGTTGTGAGTGTATCAAAGTCTCCCCCGTGAACACGCAAATCAAGACACTGCATATCACTTGTGCTGCGGAGAGAATGTGTTGTTGGGAGAGTCGGTTACCATCACCGATGTGGGTGAGTGATTAAG